AGATTTATTAAATATAGCTGGGCGCCGACTGAGGCGCCCGGCCGCGTCCGCCGCCACCCCTCGCCCTTATGTCTTCCTGAAATTTGTGAGCAGCCGGCTCAGCTGTTGTTGAGCCGTCCGGCGCCGGCGGCGCCCGCCTCCGCGCCGCGCACTGGGTGGCTGCCATTCACGCAAACTAACTCTGGCCATCGCCCTCGCCACTCCCATGGTCCGCGCAGCCACCCCGCAGGTGGCCGCCGAGGGGCCTGTCACGCAGTAGACTGATTCCTCGGGGCAAGGGGATTTCCGTATCTCACCCAAAGGTCGTGCCTCATGAGGGCTACAAGGACGGGGGTACGGAAGGCCCCGGCGGAATCAGTCTACATAATGTATGAAGGCCGTCGTGCTACCAGTGACGCGGCAGCCCACCACCGGGGAGCAAGGGGGCGCGCGTGGGTAGTTTGGGGGAGTTGACCACGACTTTGACAGTGATCCTGGGGGAAGACGAGCTCGAAGCGTCGCGACCGCCCGTCAGGACGTCACGCTCATCAGCCTGCGCGGCCAAACACACTACCGCTCGGCCTCTCCCTCCCCCGCCGCCCTCTCCCCGGTGGCGCTGCTGGGACCATCGCGGGGCTGCGACGAGCCACGACTGTCATGTACGCTGCTCGACTTTGTACTAACTTTATACCTGAAATAATAATACCCCCTCCTCCTCCTCACCTCAGCGCTAGACGCGCTCGCCGCCAGGGAGGCAGCTAGCTCCACAATGTTGGCGTAGCTCCGCCATCCTGCCGCTCCCGCCCCGCCCCAGCCCCACCCCGCGCGCCCCACCGGCTCGCGGCAAGGACCTTGCTTCTTGACCCTGCTCCTGACACCCCAGCTGCCGGTGGCTCCGACCGGGGACCGGGACGGGACACGCGCACCGCGCAGCTGTTCTGTCTGTCGCGTCCTGCCGCAGCCGCAGGCTTCGAGCAGCCGAACGCAACTCTGCAGACGACTCGACTCCGATCAGAATCGTGCGGAAGGCGAAAGTGGCGCAGCGTGGCGTGGCGTGGCTCGGGGTGGCGCGGCGTGGCGCAGTGGGGCGGAGCGCCGCCCCACATGGCAGCCGTTCAAACCCACCCCGGCACACTGTACCAGCTCGCGACGGTGGTTGTAAACTCGGAGAGGCGGGGGGCGAGGCCTGTGGAGCGGGCCACAGAGCAGCGTGGCGGCGGGGAGGTCGCGGCCCGCGGCCCGGACTTCGATCAGCAAGGTCCGCGTCACTGGCGAGGGCGGTCCCTATGGGTCCGGCCTCCGGCCCGGTCGATCACAAACACCAGACAATTCGAGTCCCGGGGCGGTGGCATATACGGCAGCCGAACGAGGCGGTGCGGCGCGGGGCGGCGCGCGCCGCCTGGCGTGACCCTGGACCAGAATACGACAGGGTGCCGGGCCAAGCGGCGCGGGTCCACCGCAGGGCTCCACCTCGCCTCTGCCGGGGGCCCGCCGCGGGGACAAGCGCGAAGAGCGCGGACGGACCACGCACCGCGGGAGGAGGACACCCCGCAGCTCGGCAGCCCCCTCAACTGAATGTTGCATTACCGCCCGGAGCTCGTGGGCAGAGGGACTTTCGGCACCCCCACGGAACCTGAGCCGGATGATCCTGCGCGCCACTCTGATCCACCGGGATCATCCCCCTTAGCCCAGCTGGCCCTGGCCACAGCCTTGCCGTCGGCGTCCCCTCCATCGTGCCCCTCGCCGACGCCGACCCTCTAATGCCGTAGAGAGAATGTTTCTATTCCTGGTGGAGAAAAGTGCCCGGCTGGCTACTCTATTTGAAGTGGAAGAGGGTCCGGCGCCCCATCGTGTGTGGAGTCCCACGGGTCAGTCGAGTTGTGTCAGGCGCCCCGCCCCACCCC